AGAGTATTTTTGTTTCTTCTCAGGGAACTTTGGCTGGAGATAAGAATGAAATCTTATTTTCTGAATTCAACATCAACTACAACAATGAACCTCTGATGTATAGAAAAGGAACTGTCTTAATATGGCAGAAGGTAAAAAACTATTGTCACTTGCTTCTTGCTCTTGTTTTAAATAGTTACACTGTGGCAGACAGGCTACACTGTAAAATCACCAGATGTATCTTAAATAGTTGTCTAGGTATAAATACATTTTAAAACTAACCATATTTGCCATGTAATGATAATGTAAGATGACTAATTGTTTTGGAGATGTCTTTGAGATATCTGTTTCCAGGAACATAATATAAAAATTAGTCTGTGAAGTCTGGCTTAGATACAAATTATGACCAACTAGATAAAACATGTATCAACAGATGACAATATGTATATCACTAGGGCCTGTGCCAGGCCCTTCCCAGAATTAGGTCCCGAGTGTATCCATGGCAAAGAAATTACAACCTTTTGTTCAATAATGTAGCTCAGTTCATAGTATGCTTAGTCCTTTTCTGCTTAAAAGTAACTTGGAAATGTTCATCATTCTAGGATGATCCAGAATTAGAGGAAGAAATCCTGTCCTGTGTTTTTTTATGAGATGAAACCCCAGAAAATCATAAATGTTTATAGCCTTAGTGTCCTTCTGTGCTAGGAGACCTTATCTAGAAATAGTTTTCCATCTGTCTATACTAAGAGTTCTCCATAACTTGCTCAGCCTTTTGTCTTCTATACATAAAAAACCTGTAATCCTTTCTTACAAATTTTGGCTAACAATTTTTAGTTCATTTGGACTAATTAGAGGAGACAGATGCTCCCATCTGGAAATACAGTCCACTTGTTCCTTAGACTTATTTTTCCTTGGTAAGACATTAGCAAGGTTTCCTCTTTGCTTTATATAGCTCACAATAGCTCCAAAGTACATATTCTGCTTCATTCAAGCATAGTTGCAATTAGTAATGTGAATTTGCAGGTAATTTCTTTAGGTCATGTGATGATGATGGGCAGCTTCAACTGCTCACTATTAAGTCTTTGAATTGAGAACAGACTCTGTTTCAAAAGATGCTGTGTTCACACTCTGGTATGATAAAGGGTTGATAGTTGTTTTTGTTGTGCCTTTGTTTCTTGTCCATTTGTGAATCCCCTCTGGAGTCTTATATGTCTGCTGATGTGTCAACTGTACTTTCAGGTTAATGAAATCTTCACGAAGAAAATAAAACTGCCAAAGGAAACAGAAGAAAAGGAAGTGGAAGTGACCCGGACTAAGACTAAAGTTGTTCCTCTGCACTGTGATATCATTGGGGACCAGTTCTGGGAGGAATATCCTGAGATTCTGGCTGAGGACAGTTGATACCTCTGACAAGTACAATTGATAGTTTACATTTTGCTCTGCTTGGGTTGTTGGCCACTGAGTAATACGGATGGTGGCTGGCAGAGTTTAACCTGTAACGCTCTTCAGCAGCTCCATTGGTTTTATTACTGTTGTTGCCTGAAAAGAAGACACTGGTGTGTTGTCTGACATACAGGGATATGCCCATATGGAGAGCTAAAATCATATTATATTTTGAATGTTAAGACTGCTTCCTTGTACATGTGTATTTGTAGAAAAAGTGTATAGAAATTTCCTGCATTTCTGTACCATTTAACGCGTGAGGTATTTTACTGAACTGCTGAACCATAAAAAAGCTTGCATATTTGAACAGAAAATTATTAATTTTATTTTTGTTTCAACTGAGTTGGACCAGAATACTCAATTGGCATATAGTATTTGAATTCAAGGCCAGTGTGTTTGGTCAGATGAGTGACACACCATTCAACTGCCTAATGTCTGATTCTTACTGAAAGGAAATGGAGCAGCTCAGCAGTTTCCTGACAGATGTTAAAAGTTTTTGTCAAATGTACAGGATTTTTATACTTGTAAAAATTAATAATAATAATACCTTCTCTGGTATGGTTTATCATGTGGCCTTCCTCATTCCTGGGATTTTTACTAGTAAGTGGTGGATGTTCCAAAAAGTGAAGTTAATAAAGATACTGTACAGTCTGGAATTCTCTTAGGACAGGGATAGACTCTTCTCACTTTCCATAGCTTGGGCAGTCACCTGTCTCCTGCTGGGCAGGAGTGGCAGTAGCAACACAGGGGAACATTCCTGATGCCTGCAAAGAGGGAGCCAACATCAACTTGTACTGCTGTTTTCTGATTTTCCTGGGAATGACACAGACATAGCAGTGCTGACAATCCCTGTTAGTTAGAGGGAAGAGAGGAATGTGTGTTGTCTGGTTAATGCACACATTTATTCTGGTTTAACTATCAGTTTAAGACCCTTTGTCAAAATAGTTAAATCATACAACCTCTCAGAGCAGAAAAATTTCTGCTAAGGGATAGGGGCTTGGAATTTGAGGGAAATAACCTATTTCAGTGTAGAAACAGCTATAATGACATAATAGGTATTTATAAGGCTATTACTACTTCTGACCATGCTGGTTTCAAAACCATGATGCTAGAATAGTAACTGAACCAGTTGTTGTTAAGGGAGAGATAGTCAGCAGCTGGGACTCGCCATAAAAATGGAAAGAAAGGATCAAATGTGACTGAGAGGGTCATGCAGTACAGAGTTCATTTCCCATGAATTCACTTATCAATCTACTCTGTTTCCCCTTCCTGCAGGAAGAACTTGCACATTTAAGGCAATGTGCCTTTTGGTGTTGTTTTTTTTTAAAAAAAACATCAGCCAGGTACTGATGTAAACTACTACTTTGTAGGTTCTTCCTGAGATTAAACAATGAGCCTGTGTGTTTATAATAGCACAGGGCTTCCCCTTCTGCTGCTCCGTGCTAATACTGAGCAGTTAAGAACAGGCAATGAGAGAATGTATTTCGCTTCTAGTTTGTAGAACAGGCCACAAAATTCCTAGGAAGAGGATGTGAGTGACTGTGAGATAAAGATTCTGAATGAATCATTCTACCAGTCATTTACCCCTAAGAACTTTTTATCTGTCTGCTGGTTTTTTGTCTTGTAACACAAATGTAACTTACTTGACTTTGAAATGCCATTTGTTACTGTCTGGTGCCTGACTTTGGACATTACATACAAAGCAGCTGTTCCAGAACGGGTAACACTTCGGATTTACTCAGACTAAAGATGAAAAAAAATAATTTGGCAGCCATGATTTCATGCTCTGAAAGTATTATGTAGGTTTTTTATCTTATATATTATAGCCACCTTATACATTATACAACGTATCTATGTATGTACCTTGTGTGTGTGTATAAAAAATGGGTCTGTATAAGTTCTTATCATCAGAGTGTTTTCTAATTAACTCATCCTTACAATAATATGGAATAAGCCAAAAAATGCAGACTTTGGAACCGAGATACAGATTGTCTGTACAACCATGGCCTTTAATTTGTATTAATATAAATTCTAGAGAAAGAAACTCTCTGTGGCATTTTCATGCATAAAGTCATATATATGACTTAATAGCTGTAGGGGAAAATAAATGCTCCCAAGTTTCAAGCAGCAGCCCGGTGTTGGTGGCACACACAGATCGACCTGTGCCTGTTCTTCCATGTATTGTTGTAGCTTAGAAGTCCTGTACTGTGACCCAGTGAAGAAAGAGGGGTTTTCTGTGCAGTTGGGGAATGACCTGTGACTGATGTATTGCTGTAACAGGCGGCGTTAAATGTACGGGAACCCGTTATGAAACATTAATGGAGGTGGTGAATCATTACAGTAAAACCTCTCTGCAGCATTAACGGTGTTTCCTCGCTGTTCCTCAGGGAAGTGGTTCTGTGCTGTAGATCCTTTTATGGGTTAAAATGCAAACTATATTGCAACCACATGTTGCCCAAGTGCCATTTCATTGCCTGAGGCAGGTGGGATTTGGTGCCCAGTCGAGGGAGCACCCCCAGAACCGCCAAAGGGCTCCAGGGTTGGCTGCAGGAGAAAGGTTGAACCAGGGGGTCTGAGTGAAGATGACAGAATCACAGAATTATTAGGCTTGGAAGCGACCTCTGGAGATCATCCAGTCCACTCCCACTGCCAAGGCAGGGTCACCTGGAGCAGGTGACACAAGAATGAATGCATCTAGGTGGGTTTGGAATGTCTCCAAAGAGGGAGACTCCATGCCCTCCCTGGGCAGCTGTTCCAGTGCTCTGCCACCCTCAGTGTAAAGAAGTTCTTCCTTATATTGAGGTGAAACTTCTTGTGTTTTTGTTTATGGCCATTGCTCCTCCTGCTGTCGCTGGGCACCACCAAGAAAGAGCCTGGCACCTTTCCCTTCACACCCCGAGAGACTCCCCTCTCAGTCTTCTCTAGGCTAAACAGGCCCAGCTCCCGCAGTCTCTCCTCATCAGAGAGATGCTCCAGACCCCTCACTAGCTTCATGGCCTCTCCTGGACCCTCTCCAGTAGCTCCTTTTCTTTCTTGCACTATTGCCAAAAACTAATCCCCAGAACTGCTCCTCCCCTTGACCTGCGTCCCGTTTTGAGTCAGCAGTCCTTTAGGGTGGTCGCTCTTTAGTCTTCCTCACGCTGCCCTTTTCTTGAACTCTTACTTTTGGCACATCATCAAGCCCTCTAGAACCAGCGTCCATGCCCCTTTGAAACAGCGTGCGACCACGAGGACAGTTTTGACTAGTTTGCTAGCTTCATGTTCCTTTTACCACTTCCACTTCACAGAAGAAAGATACCCCTCAATCTTTTGAGAAGTTCCTGTCTGTAGAGAAACCCCCTGACCTTCTACGTAGCTTAAGCTACACTAAGAAGCTACATAGCCCAAGCTGTGTGGTTCTGTGCGGCTACAGCACCGACACAAAGGATGCCGAGTGAACGAACCTGTGGCACCTCCAGAGCTCCCACAGCTCCCCGCCCGCCCGGCCCTCACCCCGCGGGGCCGCTCCGCCCTCAGGGCCTTGCGCGGCAGCGGCCCCTGGCGGCGGCCGCGGGCGGTGCCGCCCCCGCAGCCCGGCCATGGAGGAGGACGAGGCGGGCGCGGAGCCGCGGGGTCCCCCCGGGCGCCACCGCTCGCCGAGCCCCGGCCGCCTGGACGTGAGCTCCAGCCGCTTCGACCCGCTGCTGGCGCTCTACTCGCCGCGCACGCCGCTGCCCTTCCCCGCCGCGCCCTGCTTCAACAACCTCGCCGCCTACGAGAGCTTCCAGCGCGGCCTGCGCCGCCCGCGCGGCCGC